TCATTTTCATAACACTTACCTGTCTCTTAAGGCCAGAGCAAACCATTTCTCAAGAGATCAATGGGCAAACAGGTTCTCTAAGCTGAAAACCTGAAAGACAGGTAGCAGATGTGTCTGTTCCAAAAAGTCCCTGGTCCAGTGAAGTGCGAGTTGTTTACAGAGGCATTGCATTTCTGCACAAAGTAGTGGATTTTCTTGAGAGGTGAGCTTCAGGGGTGCAGCCTTGCCACCATCCATGTCTCTGGCTGCTCGCTCACATTCCTATGTTGCAATTCACACCCTACCAGCTGTGTTGCCAGACCTGTCCTCAGCATCATGCTGTAAGCCAGAGGAGTGAAAGCAGTAACCAAGTCCAGAAACTGCTCACAGTGGCTTCACCTAAGAAGCCAGATAATCCTGGAGCGCTCTCAGAAGGACGTTGTGCCCAGGCTGAATGACTGCGTCTGCACTGAACTGCAAGATGAGGGAAGATCTGCCAGGTTACGCTCATCCCATCTACTTCCAGTGAGAATCTAAACACTCATTACAAGGTTTGAATAAAGACTATCTGAATTTAGCATATATTTAACTCATGATAATGACAGCTGCTGCATTCTGTAACTGTGCACTTTGCCTGTGGAGTGCTTTCCTTTCTATCTTTAGATGCTTGCAGCCCCTGTGCACACAGAGCAAGCCAAAAGAATGGGGTTTGTTCTGCTGTTTATTATAGAAACAGTCTCAGGTCATTCATAAGATCCCTCACATATGTAAGATAACAAATACTGCTTTCATGGTTATATGGCACCTTAGAATGCATATTTCATTTCTGTAGTGTCTGGAAAGCTTTGCCAGGTAAAAAATATTTATAAGTATTATAATCTTTTTAATTAGATTTTGAGCATGTACATGATTTTCTCAGATGGGCTGGGAGAACTGATTCATCACTGAACCCAGATATTGAATGCTTGTGACCAGTGCATATAGTGAATCTGGTGACACTGTACATATCCATTTTCTGGGGAATCACACTTGTATGCACATGAGAACAGACTAGTAGCCAGGTTCTGCCCCAGATCATTGAAGATGGGGCATATAGGAATTATCAGTAGCTGAGTAGGTAGGGCTTGCACAGGTGACACTGGTCTCTGATGTGGTTGATACTCATTTACTTGTACCAAAACCAATTACTCCAGTAGGACAGGTGGCATTTAGCAGTCAATGCATGGTGTTTGGGATATCTCTTTGTATCCCAGGCAGCATCACTCTGCCAGTGCCTCCCTTTCCTAAAATGGTACATGAAAAGTTCCTAGTTTTACAAAGCATTATTTTGCAGTGAAATACTTCCAACCCTACTTAGTCACAAATGAATAGTTGTTTTCCTGGTTATCTACACACCAAAATAGTGGCAACATTTTGGATTACAAGATGAGCAGTGGCATATGTCCAGCTCTCCTGCTGGAATATTCTGTCAATACTGTGGGGGTAGTATGTATTTGATAAGAGCAGATCTCTTTCTCCCTTTATGGAGTTCAAATTGTTCTTAAAATTCCCACAGACTGCGTGGGCTGATCACTGCAATAGATAAATGTGGCACTCTTAGGCTCTGATTTGTGCTGCTAATTAATGTAGGTTTGGTGGGGTTCCACACAGGTCATGTCAGAGGCAGCAGAAGTGCACTAGCACAACTCCTCTGGGAGGAATCCTCCTTTCATCTTTCCAGTTATGCCAGGGGATGCCAGGGGCAAGCTGCCCCTTGCATGGCATGGGTTCCACACTCACAGTTACACTGTTGGATGGAGCAAGAGACCCATTAACAAAATCCATTGGGTGAAAAGATTGCTGCGCTGACAAGAGAAAACTTTCCTCTCATTCCCACCAGCCAACGTATGCATACTGCCTCTTACCTAGCTTCAGAAATGATCCTAACCACAACACAAGATCAAGTTGCCTTCAAATCCCATCCACCTGTACAGACAACAACAAACTTGCAAGGATTTCAGGAACTCCTGGCTGCCCTGACACCAGCCACATAGCATCCCTAAGGGTGAACAGGATAAACAGGCAGCTGGAAACAGACAGAAGCAGAGCGTTGAGGCAAATACACGTGGAAACTTGATATATTATAACATCCGGGACACATGCAAAGTTTCTTCCCATTCCCTTCCCCAAAGGGTACAAGCTGGACTGTCCCAAATTGCCCCTGAGGAACCACTAGAAGGCAGATAATACAGGTAGCTAGTGAATGTCATCTTAGAGACTCAGCTACAAGGCCTGTGGGGGCAGACCTAGCACTGAGTTTCATTTCTGTTAATTGCTTTTCAAAATAGCATGATTAGAACTGCAAGTGCACCATGGATTTGTGCAGTAGCAAGTGGTCTTTCGATTTTCAATTCCTTTGCTGACACTCTTTTTTTTTTCCCTTTTTAACTGCTGCTAAGTTTCACAGCGGTATTTTCAGACAACTATCCACAGCATTCCCAGGTCCCTTTTGGAGTAGTGAAATTTGATGCTATCCCTGTATGAATAGATCATTATTTCTTTCCTCAAACTTAAGAAATATGCATTTTAAGAAATGCGCATTATTTTGTATCACCAACACTGGATTCCATTTATTGTCTTACCGTCCTTTTGCAGCTTCCATTTTAGCTATCCTGACACACCTAGAGACATAATTTGCAGACACTGTCACCTGCATATTCATCATCTTGTCTGGACCATTCCAGGCCATGTCTGTTAAAACAGCAAGATTCCAGCACGGACTCCAGTAGAATCACACCAATAAAGCTGCTATCTATTCCCAATCTCCATTTACCTTTTAAACATGTACTGACGTGTGAGACCACCTCTTTTACCTCATCACGGTTTCATTTCCTTATAGCCTTTGATGAGAAAACTTGTCAAAAGCTTTCTGGAAATTCAATTTGTTATATCACTAGATCATTTATACACACTGTCATGCCTCACCTAGCTCCAAAAGATCTGTGAGGCACACCATCCAACATTTTATTACACTTTTCAGTGTGTTTTTAGCCTATGTTTGTTGCTTTTAGTTTCCTCCTGACTGTTCTCCTAATTTTTAAGTCCTCTCTTTAAAGGTTGTAGCAGGTTGCTTTACATGCACAAACACGCTGAATTTGAGTTCATTATGGAGACAGTTACACAGTAAGAAACAGGAGTTACACATTGAACTAAATTTTGTTCACCACTCAGGATTAAATCAAGAACTGTTACGCCTCTTATGGCGTCTGACTAGGTCCAAAAATTTATGCAGTGTAACAATGTAAACACAATGTGACAGTAAATTACATAATTACTAAAATTATAATAATTATTATATTCTGCATTAGCCAACCATATACAGTATATATCCTGTATAATATATTAATGATCATATATAATATGTCAAATATTATGTAAATAACCATATAAAGTGAAACCACTGATACTAAAACTAGTTACTAAGGTGAACGTAACTTGTAAACTATATCAGGAATATTTCAAATAGCTGAACCTCATTACTAGGAATATTGAAGAAAATTATGTATAACCTCATCCATCAAATCACAAAAAAACAGATATAATGGATTTATGAGAATCATAATAAAAGGAATAAACATACATCTTGGCTAAACAAGGGAACCACAGGTCTCTAAATTGCTTTGAAAGCTGACAAAATACCAAGGAGGAAAAGAAATAGTTTAGATGGTTATAAACAACAAGCAACTGCATTAACTCAAGAAAAGGAAGGAGTACTCTGAATACCAAAAGAACTCCCATTATGTGCCAAAGGGCTACATTCTGTATCAGCATTCATCTGTGAATCTTAAAATACTTCAAGTAGAGCATGTATTATTTTATTCATAAACTATCATGCTGACAGTTTAATGGTCTTGCCTACATCACCCAGAAAGCCAATACTACGGCCGACAATTAATCAAAGATTTTCTGACTCTCAGTTCATATCATTACTTCAGAATTGTAGTTTTTCTTGGGCAGAAGCAGGCTGGAAGGTTCAGAGATTCCTTTGAGGTGAAGCAGGTGTAATAAGAAGCTAGGTAAAAAAGAAATCAGGGTTCTTAGCTACTTCTGGTTTTGCAGGCCCAACCTGAGCAACCTTTCAATAACATTATTTTCATTTCATGAAAACATGGGCCATTTTCAAGTGCTCTCCAGTCAGGCATGTACATGCTTACTCACCCATAATCACTAGTCACCTTTTTCCACATTTATCATGAGAGATACTCCTTATGGCTAGTCTGGGACACTTCATAGTAATTTAATCAAAAGGGAAATTGCTCATACTGCAGTCTAATACTCAATTACTTCCTTTCAAAAACAGTTACAAGTAATTTGCTCTTATCTGTGGGAATGTTTTAGAAATAGATGCCTATTAAAGTAACCAGCTCGGACAGCTTCTCATCCACTCTGCCCCTGGAAGAACTTACCTCCAGTTACACCACCTCCAAGGGAAGCATCATTCAGGTCACTTCTAGAAGTTCTGTTTCAAAGAGAGAATCCCTGAAGTGAACCATCAGCAAATTAGCAAAACAGCACCTGCCAGGTCTGCGGCACTGCTTGTGAAAGAATTGCTCCAGTAACCCTTCTTTCCAAGTCTTTTAGGCTTTATTAGTAATACAGTCAGGACCTATCCTGCATCCCTGTTCCTCCAGAAGTTACACTACCTTCTCTCTATTTTCAGTGAATGGACATATCCAAAGCAATCTGTAGTGTTTTGAAGTGTTTTACAACCAGTCCATGCAAAGAACCTAGCTTAGGAGATACACTCCCCAGAGACAGCCTCAAGAAGGAAATTCAGAGCCTGATCTATAGCCCCTGCATCACCATCTAGATAAGTCTATTTCTGTCCGCTGACTACAGAGGACCCTAAAGACATTAAGCATCATCTCAACTAGACATGTAAATATTTCATGGTGCCCAACATGTAAGAAGGACTGCAGGTAATAGCATCAGAATTAAAAGCAAATTATACAACACAAGCAAAAAACTGACAATGAACTTACTCTGAAAACTTTTTCCACCCTTGCGATACCCTTCCCAAAGATGGTTCCAAGTTGGTCTCCAATCCCAGCCAGCAAGAATCCAAACAGTGGAATCCCAAAGATGGCATACAAGATGCAGAAAACCTTGCCTCCAACAGTGCTTGGGGCAATGTTCCCATACCCTGAGGAGAAAAACAATTGTCAGACTCCCAGAGCTTATTAGATGGCTTTTTAGAAAAACTAACGGGTTTAGAAAAACTGCTGTTCCTGCAGGCATACCTTTGTTCTACATGCAATTCCTATTTACAGACTTTCCATGGCATGATGTCATTTCCCAGACAAGCTACCCCCTACGATTTTGTTGTTCTCAGTTACCCATATTTTCTATAGATTCAGGTCCTATCTAAAGTTGTTCTTTGATTAATTAATCTAGCTTGACTTATCACAGCACAAAAATTCCTCCATGCTGGCCTGGTGCCTGCACACTGCTGCTCCTCTTGGGCTGTGCCAATGACTTCCTGATGGGAGTGTGATTCACCTGACAAGGCTCATTTTCAGTGGTTACCTCATCATTTCCTCAGGCCCTCATCACACTGACTAATTACACTGCAGCCTCCAAACTGTGCCCACACTACACGAATCTGCCTTTGAACTCTTTGTTCGCTTCCTCTTTCAATTTTGCAATAAAGAGCCTAACATTTGTATTTCATGTGGGTTTTTAATAGCTTTTAACAAGGAAGTTTTTAAGCCTTCCCTCTGAACATCCTACTCCATTTATATGCAAAAATCATTATTGATGCTGTAATAAAGCTGCATACATGCCTTCCTTCCATCCTCTGTTAAGGTAACTGTTGAAAAGATGACAGACTCTGACCAAGACATAATTATCCAGCTGCATATCCCGAGTGAAAGCTCTCATATTGGCCCAAGCAAGTTTGAGCACATTCGGTTTTAATGGAGCCTTGTAACTCTAGATAAAATATTGGGAACACCTGATACTGGCAGAAAGGCAGCTCTCCACCTGTCCTATGCAGTAAACTACATGTAGTCACCACAGCTTGTTCAGGCACTTCTTCCCTTCCCCACACCACCTGTGTGAATTTAACCTTAGGAATCTACATAGGGCATTATGACTCCAGTAGCCACAGTATTTCTGTTAAAATGTTAATGTTAAAGAGAAAAAACAAGAATTATGGCAGTAATATTTGCACCTTTTTATTTAAGATCAGGTATCTTTATTGAGATGTTACAGAGATTTGTACTCTGACAATTATTTGAATATTAAAAATGATCACACAATCACAAATCACTGACAACATAAAGTGGAAACACAGAGCATCCAGGGAGGTGGAGATCTAAGAGAGTGCCTGCTTCATCTACAGCAATTCTCCCTGGTCCTTGGGAATAAAGGCTGGGCTCCCAGGTCCTAATCTTGTTAGGTTTGTGACACTGGCACTGGATATATCTGTTGTGGGATGGTGAAAGGACTATGCTGACACACAATACTGCCTCCTCTCAACTAACAGTCCTTTCCATGGCTGCATCCATGATCCCAGATTTCTCCTAAAAGTCTAAGAAAATCCAGGCTCCACAGGCTAGTGGGCTGAGGTTGACCAGGTATTCTGCTGAGTTTCTGCCTAAGAGGAGCCCTAACAGGGCTCTGGTGAATAAAATAAAATCATTTTAATGCCCAGACACAATACATAGACTTTATGCAGCCTATAAAAATCTCATTCATGGAGAACTTAAAGCAAATATGGGCAAAAATCCAAGCTCTTTTCAATAAGTTATTTAAATAGCAGATGTCAATGAATATGCCAACATAAACTATGCCTACGTAGTGGCTTTTATTTTAATGAGTAATTTAAAAGCTAGTCACTTGGGTCTATTGAGTAAACAAATATTAAGGGAGGGTTTTCTTACATTTGATTCAGAAATGTTTTCTTTTTCACCACCTGCTGGTTATGTGCTACCGTTAAAAATACATGGTAGCTTAGTATATAGAGGAACACGGGGAGGAGTATGCTCTATACAATTGCTCTTTCAGCCTCCCTCTGGCAACAAAGAAAAGACAGAGCCAACAGTACAGACTCCACTGTTTGACACGATCACCACAGCAAGTCTTGTAACTGCCACAGGATTTTTTTTTGTTGTGTTACCTGCATAAAGAACCTGCAGAATTCAGTCAGATTCTCACACTTTAATGAAGGGTTATGGGATTGTCAGATTATTTGTCTATACAGTCACCAGTGTGTGCATCACAGTTGTAATACAGAGAAGCACTTTATCTAATATTTAAATCAGAAGAATACTCAAAGGCAATGCAAATGAAAAGCAACAATTTGCCAGTGATTTCCAAATAATCAGATCTCTTGACCTCTAAGCATGATGGCACTGAAATCAAGCTTAACATTATGAAACCGCTGTATAATTATCAGCAGATTAACTTTATCGACAAAGTTATCAGTTTATCATTTTTTTCCTTCAGATCATCTTTTGAAATCCCAGCTGATTGAGCAATCTTCAAGAGAGGAACTGGCTCACAGAAGAGAGGATAAAAATCTTAGCATATCTAAGGGGAGCATTCAGAGATCAAGAGACTAAATACATTGGACACAACCTATAGGGGGACAGGTGATAGGGGCCCAAACAACCAACCTAGTAAAATTAGTGGTTCAAGAAAAGTAAATGGAGCATTTCAGTACACCCTTCATCTAATATAGAGAAATGTGTCAATATTTCAAGGCCACAAATTCTAGAATGGAAAAAAAATGGGGTTTTTTACACAATGTACAACTTGTGGAATTCCTTCCAATTATTATTATGAAAGCGAGGAAGGATTTTAAAAAGGATGTGATATTTATGTGAATACATTTCCAGCTACAAGCAGTAGGGTATGAGAAGAATTACTTATTTCAAGCTTCAAAGCATAAGCCAAAATTAATCTATAAACTTAGGAAGAAAGTTACCCTTATGGGTAAATTAGTCTATAATATTAGAAACCAAATTCCTAACAACCACAGAATAGTTATTTCATTGGGTGCTGGTTCTTTATCTTTTTAGTGAAAATTAAGACTACCTGCATCTATGTCAAGAACAGGGTTATAAAGCCTTAGCTACACCAATGCTACTTGTTTTCAGTTCAGCATTGCTTTTCTACCACAATTGTGTGAACAGCTTCTGATACTTACCCAGAGGCTCAATGCCCTTGACATACCAGAAGCTTGCCTTTTGAGAATTGAGAGAAATACAGTTCACCCACTTTATTTCTCCGTGATCTACCCTCCCCAAATTTATTTCATTACCAAGTCGCAGTGTGACTATGTATTTTAAAAGATAAACAATTAACATACCTATTGTTGTGATGACTGTTCCAGCAAAGAAAAAGGCACTTCCAAGGTCCCAGTGACTGCTGTTGTTAGAGGAATTTCCTATGGGACTGACTCCTGCATTATCAGCATCAATAGCATGCTGCAAAGAAAGAGACAGCAAGTCAGCCTTATGCATGACTTACAATATCCTTATGTCGGTATAAGCTCCGAAGGGAAATTCTAGGAGTATGGGAACAGCTTCGATTTCAACTTTTTAATACCTGCTCGAAGTATAGTAGCATCATCATGTACACAAGAGCTGAATATATGACTGAACTAAATAGCTATTAAGGTGGAAGAAAGATACAATGCATAGACAAATGACAAAAGATACAAAGCAACTGAGAAGTTGAGGACTGACACCTCAAAGAGATCCATAAATACCGTTCTTGTAGCAATAACTGCCAAAGGAAAAACTCTCCAATGGGAACAGCTGATGTTAGAAGCAACAAGAAGGGTGGTAGATACAAACAGTGAAGTCAACTGAAGCTAGACAGCCAAGGATTTTAATTCCCAGACAATTAATAATTGATTAAGTTATTTATATTTCATGCTAACTAAAGAAAAAAACAGGATATGTATATCCCATTTGAAACAAACAAATAGAATAGCTACGGAAACATCATGAAACAATTTTGTGATCAGCTAGGACTTCCCAGTTGCCATACTGGATATGATCACATGTCCACAAATACAGCATGGTACAGAGACTTCCAGCTAGTGCTTCAATGAACTAAATCCAAAGCAGAAGGTGAGGTAGCTATATGGCTTCCAGGTCACTGTCTTATGTCTCACACAGCACCGAATCAAACCAGGCAGACTATCAGCCTGCTGAATGTTTGCTTGGGAATTTCTAAAAATGCACCATATTGTGTCATGGGGACATGTGTTTTTGCCTTTCATTGCAACTTCACTGTCCAAAGGAAGATAGAGCTAAATACATCAGCCTCTGTGCTGGTTTTGGCTGGGGTAGAGTTAATTTTCTTCACAGTAGCTGGTATGGGGCTATGTTTTGGATTTGTGCTGGAAACAGTGATAACACAGGGATGTTTTAGTTACTGCTGATAGGTGCTTACACAGAGTCAAGGCTCTTTCTGCTTCTCACCCCACCCCACCAGCAAGCAGGCTGGGGGTGCACAAGAAGTTTGGAGGGGACACGGCTGGGACAGCTGATCCCAAATGACAAAAGGGATATCCCAGACCCTATGATATCATGCTCAGCATATAAATCTGGGGGAAGAAGAAGGAAGGCAGAGAGGATGTGTGGAGTGATGCCATTTGTCTTCCCAAGTAATTGTTACATGTGACGGAGCCCTGCTTTCCTGGGGATGGCTGAACACCTACCTGCCCATGGGAAGTAGTGAATGAATTCCTTGCTTTGCTTTGCTTGTGTGCACAGCTTTTGCTTTCCCTATTAAACTGTCTTTGTCTCAACTTTTTTCACTTTTTCTCACTTTTACTCTTCTGATTCTCTCCCCCATCCCATTGTAGGGGGAGTGAGCAAGTGGCTGTGTGGTGCTCAGTTGCTGGCTGGGGTTAAATCATGACAGCCTCCAAAGCACAGAAATAAATCTCTCATCAGCATCTGGCACATTCAGCTGAATTGCTCTAAGTTCACTTCTGAGATGCCCTTTGGTACATATTCTCTAGTTGCTTGCAGATCTCATGCAATCTATTGCCTGTCATAGAGAAATTCAGACCTCACTCTGGAACAGCAGCTAAATGACTGCCTTTGAAAACCCCTTCTTTCCCAAATGTTCCAAACTGAGATTAATTTCCATAAAACCAATAAAAGGAACCAAGCTTCTCTCTTTCCACCTTTTACCTTTTGCAGCTCTTTGCTCTTTGGCTCTCTCCTGTTCTGTTCCTATCTCACTTCATGTTGTTATCATGCTACTGATGCTATTGCCAGATCTTCCCATTCTCTCTCACTCTGATATTTGCTCCTTCTCCTAAATATTGCCACCTGCCTTTAGCCTTGGTTATTTCAGTGAGCTTGTTGCTGGGTTCAACAGGAGAGGCAAAGTGTTGCCTCTTACATCCTCTCTTTCTTTGACTTTGTTCGACACAGAATTCTCACCTATCAATACAAGTCTGTTTTGACTTTTCTTATTCCACTTCTTTAACCACTTCTCTTTTCCCTCTGACTTATAATCTATGAATTGTCACTGTGAATTTTTCTTCACCTTTTTCTATACAGTCCATATGCAAAGCAAGTTTAACGGTTCTACTTTACCATTGCCCCACTTCTCATCTGTTCATGTCTATGATTTCTCTCCTGATCTTCTCCATAACCTCATATTCTCTTGTGCTTTTATCACTGACTTTTAAATACATCCATTTAACACCTCTTCTAGCCCTAGCTTTCATGATACGCTTTTCTCCTCATTCACCTCTTCCCTCTGATGGCTCATTTATCACATTTTTCCTTTTCTTCCTCTTCCATTTTGCACTTTTCCTCACTCATTTTTTGCCTATATTTCCAACTGACTTAATTGTCACAAATGTTCCTCTACCACATTTTTTTTCCCCCTTGGGCTAGTTTCAGCTAATCTGCTCCCCAGTTTTTAGTATTCATCACATTGCCCCACAGAAAGGGAAAGGAGTGGGAGAAGAAGCGCATGGGCGAGAACAGAGGCCAGGTATATCTAAAGAGGTCAGTACATGACAGCCCTTTTTAACATTAGAGCTGCTAGCTGCCAGGCTAAACTGATTGTGAAATTACAGCATGAGCAAGCTCCAGACTGAACTGGTTGCATTTCACATAGGCATAAAGCCAGGGTTCCTCAGCACCTGTCCATACCTCAAGAAAGAGGGATGTATAGAACGGAAGTGTTGAGAACCAAACCCTTTGAAAGCGCTTCTGTACCAATTGCTGGCATATTGCAGGTGGTGTGAAAGCAGAGATCATTTATTTGTTTACCCAGAAGAGCATAAATCAGCATAACAGACAGGTTGCCTGTTTAAATAGGCCATGACACACTGTCAGCTACCCTGGCATGTTACTTCTGCCAAGGAATGCTGCTTGCCTTCCCCTTGAGTGTGTGAATGTCAGCGAGCTAATTACAACACTTTAATCACATTTGAGTTTACACAGTTTAGCAAGTCTGTTAGGGCCAAACACTAACCCCTGAAGTGAAGGAGCATCCCATTTGCCTTAGGTAGCTTTGAGCTTCTCAGGCTCCCTTCTCATGCAGAGCAATTTTTTCTTTAAAGCTTGACTGACATCATTCATTTATAAATATCCAACTATCCCAATGCTGTCTTTTAATACATAGTATTTTGTATACAGTGATGGAAGACAGAAGGGGAACAGTAAGAGGCGAGCAGCGTTGCAGTTAGCGTCACTTAAATATGCAATTTCAGGTCATGCAATGAGTAAAGGATGCCTTACTACCACCACCACAAGTCCACCTACACAAACGTATCCTGCTAGATGAAGGCTGACACAAAACTCAAACAAGGACACTATCACTGGCAGGACTTTCCCAGTTCACACAGACCATGACATTTTACAATGGTTTCCCATCTGTGAAACTTCAGACAGGCTTTGC